CTGATAAATATTGTCATTTATAACAGAAAAAAAATACAAATTTAATACATGAATTTATAGCAATTATAGCAATCGATTATAAAACACGAAATAGAGGGTTGGGGAAACTGTGACACGTTGAGTAGAGGAAAACGTTAGTTCACTCTAAATTATAATTTAAGCTATTAATTTACAAGACTGGAAATTTTAGCCTAATATAGATAATTATGTCATACATGATTGACTAAAAAAAAGATTATTAAAATATCTAGTATATTTTTTTAATTTTTACAAAGGAAAATGTGTTTTAGCATATCAAATTTAACAAAGAACAATTTCAAACTTTATCGTTTATAAAATATAAAAATATATCTTTTAAAATCTTTAATAAAATAAATTTTAGGAAAGTTTAAACCCTATTTTTTAATCTGGCAATTTTTCGGAATCATAAAACATTTAGTATATGTTTCTGAAAGATATTTATAAAGTTAGTGGGCTAGGTCATGGTTGGTTTTAGTTAGTCATGGCATAGTTGGTTCTAATAATTATTACATATTAATTTGTTATTTTGAATAAAACAAATGCATATAATTTTCAATTAATATTTATCGATCTAAAATATTATTTAATATAATAAAAATACTTTACTTTAAATAATATTGTAATTTAATTTTTTTTTTGTAAAAATTCCTAAATTTTTTTAAAATCTCTAATTTCAATTTAATTTACTTAAAAACTGCGTATGGTATTATGAATAAATTAATATACTTTAAAGCCTCTAGTTTTATAACAGTATCAAAGAAAAAAATTATTCTAAATTTAAACCTCTCGTGGGTACCTACGATCAAATATAGTTGTCCCAAACGTACCCAGATTAGTAGGACATGATAAAAAAAATTTCCCCGATTCAATTTTCTAAAAAATTATAGTTTTTAGAAAATATATATTATTTTAAATAACCCATAATTTGGGGATTAAGGAGATGTCTTATTTATGCAGATTAATCTAATATTATTAAATTTATTCAGGTTTTAACGAAAAGTGCTCCAGCTATTCCTGGTCTTCCTCTCTACTGGGTACAACCAATGGGGCCCATATACCTTTTACTGGAGCAGAGAGGAGTGGGGCAAAAAAATCCGGGACGAGTCTGAAATTATGTAGATAGAGCCGCTTATTTTAGATAAGTCTACTTGTTTATTTCTGAAAAACATTTAGTTAATATACCGTGTTAATGGCGTTAATATTATAATATAATATACATTAAATTGTATAACTAAAACCCTGGCTGTTATTGTTTTGCCATAAATCAAACCAATTTTGTCTCTTCGAATAAATCAGACATTTGACGCATCAAATCAATCGAATTTTGATAAGATGGTAAGACACTTGTAAATTTTTAATATGAGGTGCACACATAAAATGGATCATTCCTAGCCAGAGGTGTATCGCCAGTGGGAGCTACGAGTAGCTATGAATCCTTTCTCTTTATTATTTTTATAAAAAATAAAAAATTTTTATATAATCAAAGATCATTTTCATATTTTTTTTTATAGCCACTATAGAAGAGAATTTTTTACAAGTTGTAGCCGCTTCTGCTTAAGTTAAAGTATAGAGTGATAAACAATCAGTTGTGATTAATAACTCCATTCATAGCAGTTTTTGGGCCAACTTTATAATGGCTAAAACCAAATTTTTAAGGCGAAAATTATGTTCTTTGTCTCGATTGAGATTTAAGACATTAAAGGATAGTTCAATCTTGATAAAAATAAATAGCCCTTGCCCCAAAGACAAGCCGATTTAACAAATTCTTTTTAAATGTTTTAAATGAAAATTTAAGATTTGCAAATAAGTAGGTTGTTAGTTGCTAAGATTAATCAATTTACTTTGAAAGAAATGATAAATTGAATTATTTTTTTTATAGAATTAAGCGCTAAGCATTGACAAAATTTTCAGAATAAATGTTTCCAGTCGCTCTTCAATCGTAAAGCTGGTTGGTCAAAATTTATTGCTAGCATTTTTTCCTTTATACTGCACTAATTAAATACGAAATATTGCTAAATAAATTTTCGAATGTGCATCTAAACAAACTTTAATGCAGATATAAAAAGTATTAAGTATTTTAGACAAAGAGAAACAAAAATAATACCTCATCAGAATACATTATGGACTAGACATGACCAAAGGCAAGACATATAAGGGTGTGTGGGGCAAAGCATCAAAGAGAAATTTTATAACACCCCACCCCTCAATCTTGTCTATGCCACTGATATTTCATTTCCTAAATCAATTCTAAACTAGAGATTAAAAAAAATAAAAGCCCTCTCCGTATCATTGTTTTCATTTTATGCCTATATTTTTTAAATCTTTATTTACTTAATCTAATTTTAATAAATATAAAAAATATAAGTATTCATATATAAAACATATTTATTTATCGCTCGCGCTATTGTATTCGCGATATTATCTTCACGTAAATTAATTCGCGAATTAATTATGTACATTTGCGAGATAAGGGTTTCACTTTTAAAAAAAAATTTGCGATAATTGCTACTCTTTTAGCGAAACACTTCTTTACGAATCTGGATTTGCAATATAGGGTTAATTATAACATTCATTCATTATAATCAAAATTCGCTAAGTTTCTTAGAACCATTATAGGATAATGTTTTGTTTAAAAAAAATATTATTTGAATGTTATACCCATTAACCAGGTGAAGTTCAAATAACTGGAAAGATGCATAGGATATCATATCATCATTAAAACATGATTTAGATTCATGATCTAAATTCCCTTTTCCAATAGTATTCCCGTTTGGCTAAGCGTATGAGGGTGTATGGTTACAACAGAGATATATCAACTGGGATTAAATTATAGGGGAGTCAAAAACGGGTGAGAGCAGTGACTTGGTAGGCACAATATGACTGGTTTCTTGTGTTTACAAGATATCAAAAAAACCGTCGTATACCAAATATAAAAAATTTACATATTTAGCTAGCTTATCGTAACTTTTTCCAAAGTTGCAAATTGCTGCAGAAAAATATAAAATATGAGCGAAATTTTGAAATTCTTCTTATGCTGTTAGCAGGAGGAATGACTTTTAATTTCCGCTTAATTCTTGGGGGGGGGGAGTAAATGAAATATTATTAAAATCGATAAAAAGTGTTTTGTATTTTTATATAACATTTTTTTTCTAATTAATAATTTAGTATTTTGATTGAATTTCAATCCTTTTAACAATTCAAAAAGAGGTCAAAAATTCTTAATTTTTCAAAAAAAACTCCGACAATTTAAATATTATTTTCTATTTCTAAATATAATATATATTTAAGAAAAAATTGTTTAAGGCGAAAACGTTTAAAACAAGAGAGAAAAACGCGTATAAAATTATATTAGATGATAAATAAAAACATTATGGAAGTTAATATAAACGAAAACGTATAAATAAGCGTTATCATTTTAAGCGTGTTGAATTTAAAATATTTATGAAATAATTAACCTCATATAATCCAACTCTTTTTAAAATTTTTGTTACTATACCTATTAGAAATCTTCATCTAGACCCGGCCCAACCCAGAACAAAACCAATACGCACGTCGGGGGGGGGCAGAGCTTTGCAGGTCTCTAATTTCATATTTGTTTAATTCTTATATTTGTTTAAATTCTTACACCATTTGTCATTATAAATATTTTCTTTTTCTAGAAATTACGTCCCAATTTTTCGACTTAATTTTTGATTAAAAAAGACAAATTTTATATTATTTTTTTTGAAATGTCAATTTATTTTTAACAATTATTCATCCTTAAAAAATATATTTTACTATTTAGCACCATTAAATTTAAAAATCAATAGTTTTACTATTTTAATATTATTTTTTTTATTAAATAATTCAATTAAAGTAAAAGTTACAACATTTCACTCATCTTGTTTTCAATTAAGTTTTAAAGACACCCATAAGTAAATCAAAAACATCATTTTTATAACTTGACATAATTAATTTGATGCCTTTCATCTTCATATGTTTAAATTCTTGTTTAAAAAATTATTTAAATATTATATTCTGCTCGTGAGAAAAAAATGCACTTAAAAATGAGAAACTACGCGATCTGGAACCTGCCTTTTGGGGAACTTAAGTAGGCTAGGTTACGTCTTTTTTCTTCATAAACAAATAATTACGGTGTTATCTCAGAAATCTTGACGATTCTGTATAAGAAATTATTATTTTTTTCTACATCTTATTTAGATAATTTAGTTAAATTGCCAAAAAAATAGCAAAATATTTTATTTTGAATTTGTATAATTTCCCGTGACAATTTGATCAAATAAAAATTATTTCTCACTCTAACATTTTAACAACAAATTGTGTTCGGAAAAGAAAATATTGATTTGCAAAATTATATCTAACATCAAAAAAAATAATATAGTTATGAAGACACATTTTAAGTACGTTTAAAAGTGAAGGACATTTTTAATATATTAAAACAAATATGTATCCTAGACATATTTATTAAGAATGGTGAATTTATAAATTACAAAAACCCAAAAATTCTCCAACATCATCCCCCACTTTTATTTTTTAAACCAATAGCATTAATTTGTCTACGTCATATATTTTAATATTATTTTTTTTAAAAGAAAGATAGAATAAAAAAATATTGTTTATTTTATTTTTATGTGCTATAAATTGAAAATGGCGGATTTAAAAATCTGACATTTTTTATTTTTTAAAATAAAATTTTTAAAAAACTACTTAAATTTTAAGAATTCGATTTATAAAAAATTAATTATCTTCCCAAATTTTACGAGATAATTTAAAATTATCTATAAAATAATTACTACGCGTAAAAAAAAGATTTTATTTTTTTAATTTTGTATCCTTCCGCTTATTTTATTTATATTTTCATTTTCTTTTTGCTTCGCCTTTTTAAAATAAATAATTGATATATAAATATAAAAAAAAATAAACAAATGAGAGAAAGAAGAAAAAAAAATTATTTATTATAAAAAACGCGAATTTTCATATTTCAAAAATTTAAATATTCAACGGAATCGTTAATAAAGATTAAATATCGGAAAAATTCAGCATGGAATTTATAAAAAAAATTTAAAATTAAAAAGAAATGAAATCAGAGAACCACGTTTTTATAACAATTTTAAAATAGCGATAATCTTATTTTTTTGCTATAAAAAAAGATCACCATTTTTTATTGATTTGAAAGAAATATCGGTTTGTGAATACAAATAATTATTTAATTTACCTTCTTTAAAAAATACTAAATTGTATATAAGTGAAAAGTTGATAAATATCGTAAAAACAAAATTAAATATTGGTATATTTAAAAGCAAACAAACCTTATTAATTGATAGATTACAAACAATTATTACATCAGTCCTAAATATGAATGATTTTTCCCATAACAAAGTAATATAGTAAATTAGACCTGGAGTATAAATAAACTTAAAAATCGTCTGCTTCGATTAAACATTCTAATTTTTTTTAATATTTATTTTAAAATATAAAAAAAAACATGTGTAGGACATATCCGTATATTCGATATCCCATGGCTGTAAATAGAAGGGACAAAGCTGATGAACCTTTCTAAAATATCATATTTCGGTAATAATCGCTTGAATGGTCATAATAAAAATTTTAACAATCGCCATCATAGTTCAATCGATGATATCAAAAAATTTTGGTCTCAAACCCTAAACAAACGAACATCCTTCAGGAAAAATAATATATATTCTTCATTTTCATTACCCTACGCTAAAACGAAGATTATTAAGAATTTGATCAATAAATCCTATCCTCTTTCTCCCCCATCCTCCGATCACTCCCCATTCACGTATCAAGATAGCAATAGTAGCGATCTGGAAGGGGTTGGAGGCTGTTCAGACGACGACTCGCTTTGCCTATTAACTAAGCATCCTAAATATACCGATAACCCTCGATCCTTGAAACGAATTCGATTCATGGGTAAAACAGAGAAGAAGTCAACCAGTATGTCTCCACATCAGATTATTTCCAACGACTCTATGAAACCAATCAAAATACTCGATTCCCACATTAATTCGAATTTAAATATTAAAACTAATGGTCTATTAAAGAAGCCCGCGATTCTGAACAGTCCCCCTTATCCGGTAGAAAATGGAATCATTCGCGATTTTAAATCCTCTGAACTATTAATTAATTGTCAAGTTAATGGGTATCAGGATGAATGTTTAAAACTTCAAATAATTCCGGATGAAATTGCGTTTTCCCCTAAAAGCGATTTAGATCCAACATTCTTAAACAATCATCAAACTACCGACGATATGTTACTTTTTACAGATGTTATGATGAATAACGATCCATCATCTATTTTATTATTTGAGGATTCTCAAAAAAAACCCGATACCTTAAATATCATTCACCCTAAATTAGATTCAAATCACATAGATGAAAAATGTGTGAAACATTTAAACCATATATCAGATAGATCACAAAATTATGTACAATCTTTAAATTCATCACTAATTCAGGAATATCAGGACACCTTCAAAAGAAGTGAATTAATCGATAAGCAACTTTTATTAGAAAAAAGGCATAAAAATATACTGATAAGGATTAAAAAATTGCAAACACATTGTGTCTTAAAACATGCTAAAAATGAAATCGATCTTTATAATAAGAAGAACAAATCAAATTTAATTCATAGTGAATTGAATTCAAGTACACAACAAAATAAGTGCCGTGAATTGATATCCCAAATTCGATATTATTGTGATCAGGATAGTGATAAGACTGATGTAAGTTCAGATGAGGAATCATTTGAAGATCTTTACTCTGTTAATTATCTTAAACCCTCAAACAAAACAGCCTCATCAACATTGTAAGATACCATTTATAAATAATTTTTAAAAAAGATCATTTATATCATCTATTTTTAGTCAAAATTTAAAATATGATGAAACAATATGGAAATGGGAACAAACTAGAGCGGCAATTGCCAAACAATGGGTCTGGTTGCAACATAAAATTCAGACTTTAGAAACTAAAATTAATCATCAAAAAGATATTCATTTTCACTTTCGAGCTATCAAGGGAAACTTTAAATTTACAAATCAAACCTTTAATAATCCTTTATTACATGACACATGTGCCCGGTCTAGGCCATTGTGTAATCCTTATTTACGTCGTAAATTATATGCCAATTCATTAATATCAAATGCTGAAACAATTGGAATGATCCCATCTTATAATTCTTTACTACCACCCCAAATACAGAGCCAACATACTCATTCAATATTAAAAAGCTATCCATGGTTCAATTCAAATTTATCCAATTCACGTAAGGATTTTAATGAGAATTTTTTTATTCTACCATTTATTTTTTAAGGTGTGCCTTTACCCCTTTTATACAATATTGCCATCAGAACTAAACCATTTGTTCAAGAAATAGAAAAATTTAACAAGTTAAAAAATAATTTAAATGTCATGATATTTATATATCATATTTAGGCCATCTCCCATAATCCTCAGTAAGTCCTGCAATGTCAACTCAAAATCCACAATATGTAAGTTGTTTAGACAATTAAAGTTATCATTATAATTTGATTTTTTTTAGCTACCACAAGCTCAAATTCCCACAAGCAAGCCTCAAGTATTCTTAGAAGGAAGAAAATTCATTCATCAAAACTTGCCTATAAAAACCAATCTTCATTCAACAAATCCTTTGCCAGTGGCAACAATAAGCAGCACAGAATTACCCACCCCTATTATGATATTGACGACATGGATATATCATTCAATACTTCTAATTTAAATAGCCTTATTATCCCACAATTCAAGAAAATATTAACCCCCAAGTATTTTTTATTATTAAATGAATGGCTTTATTTTCCTAAAACAAAGTCAATATACATTAAATTATATTGGTTAAATCAATATTTAAATATGGATACTTTTTTTTACAATAATACATATTTATTTATTTTTGATAGGTGGAAAACTATGCCAACTCAAGAGTTTGAATCAACCAGCGATCAAAACATTGTAAATATAATTCGTTTATTTCATTCTTACCAAAATGTTTATGATAAATGCAATACAATTTACCAGCTCAGAGCATTCTTAATTCTTTTTTATAGATTTAAATAATAATTTTTTCTTCTATAACTTAACATAAAATATATTTATTTTACCATTTTGGATAAGGTATATAGATTAGGGATGCCTTTGATATGTTTTTGATGAATACATTATTAATGCTTATTTATATTATGCAAGTGAATTATTAGTCATAAAAAATGATGGCCAAAATGTTAAACCAACCCCCACCCCCCTCTTTCTTTTGAAAAGGAAGATATTGATTTTTTTAAAAAAAGAAATTAGAATTTTGGTTTATTTATTATCCACCATTTTTTGAAATTTTTATATATTCATCTATAAAATAATACTTGTCTAATTTGGGCACTTGATCGAATTAGACAAGTGTTCGAATTATTATTTTTCTAAAATGAAGATATTTTTACCTTCTAGCGTTTGAATAGACATTTAATTTTATTGTCATTGTACTGTAATTTGAGGGAAAAAAAGAATTTAGAATTAGTGTTGTTAAATGGCTAACTAAATATTTTAGCCTGAAAAATATTGCCTAAGCCTCGAGATTTTGATAATATATGTATAGACCATTGTTCCTTCTATGAGCAAAATCTTGAGGCTTGTATAATATTTTTCTGGATGAAGATTTAGCCGTTTTAAAAATCGGCTTATTTAGAATGTTTATACTAATCGAATTTCCTATTTGATCGGTATATAAAAATATTATTTGATTCATGCGTTCTTGAATAGGCCTAGCTCAATTAGTGTTGTTAAATGGATAATAACGATGCAAAATCTCTTCATTTGAGCCGATTTTTTAAAACGGCTAACTCAATATTTTATCTAGAAATTCGTAAGCCTTATTATTAAACTCATAGATGGCACTAAGGTTTGGACATATATTAGACAAATCTTGAGGTTTAGGCTATATTTTTCTGGATAAAATACTGAGTTCGTCGTTTTTAAAAATCGGCTCAAATGGAGCGATTTTGCATCACTAATGGAACATTGATGCAAACCTTGAGATTTTGTTCATAAATAGCAGAGAGATTTGAACATTCATTATTAAAATCTTGAGGATTGCCTAATTTTATTTTGGCTAAAATCTTAATTTAAAATTCCCAAAATCGGGGTATTTAATGACCTTAGTACAAACTTAATAATAACTAACCAATAAAAGGTTCTAGACTCTATATCTAATTAAATATTTGAGTTTTTTTTTAAAATAACTTCTAATTTCGAACTATGAAAATAATAAGTTTATAACAAGTACATTTATTTGATTTTGAAATGATAGATTATTAGGTTTAAGTGTCGAAAATCTCTTGTTAGGCATTGTTAAGTATTGTTAAGCGGTTCTATTTTTAAAAACGGTTTACTCAAATTTTACCCAAAAAATATGACTTAAGCCTGAAGATTTTGCTCATAAATAGAAGAAGGTGGACATATATTCGCCAAATCTCGAGGCTTAGTTATTATAATTAAAATATTAATTTAAAATCGGTTAAATCGAGCACACTAGGTATATTGTATTATTAAATTAAGCATGAAAACAAACAGTTTATTAGAAATAATTTTAAACTGGTAAATTTCATTTTTGTTTATACGAATTGCAGTGCATATATATATAAAATTTGTGATTTTTTTTTGAAACGAATATTCGAAATCTAAAAACTTATAAATAATCGAATAAAATTGATAGAATTTTTAAATCTGTACAAATGTTAATTTGTTCAGAGTAATTTTAATTAAACGTAATATCCCTTTAACTTTATACATAACGGTTAGTGTAGTCTTCTTATTTCAAGAATAGATATTTTTTAATTGCTAAAGTGCCCGAGTTATCAAAGTCCAATTTAGGTATGTTTTTCAACTTATAAAATGGAGTGCTTATGTGTAACAAATTTTTTTTAAAATCAATAAATAAATAAAAATTCCTTTATTATCTTGCATGAATAATTTATTGTTCTTTGTTAAAAATCGAAATCAATCAATATTTTTTTTTAGCTCAAGCAAGATTTTTTGAACGAAACGCTCGTCAAAGAAACCCACACAAAATACCAACTCAAAGAAAAATATGACAGAACTCATATCTCTAAAAAACGTTCGTCCTCTACCACCTCTCTCAGTTCGACCACATACAACCACAAAACTTGTAAAATAATTAAGACCGAAGGATCTGAACACGATTCTTTACCATCTTTTGATATCAACGAAAATGGATCATCCAATTTTGAATCGACCATTCTGCCAGGAGAAAACACTGATTCGAAGAATAATATAGATGCCTCAGAGGATTGCAAACCTGACAACGGCAACGATACTCCCAATCATATCATCACTAGTTTAGCGGGTAACAATCCCCTTATCTTCAAAAGTGGCACTACGGTCCTTAACTTCGAGCACTTTAAAAGCCAATTTAAATCTTTGCCCCATAACGCCGCTAACAATAAAAATAATCACCAGAACCACGTCAGTATCCTAAATGGGTTTAACCACTGCGCGAACAATCCTTCTACCCCCACTCCTAATCCTAAAGACAAAATTGAGGAGGAATCTTCAAATATTGCCAAAAATATTATCCTCTGCCCGCCTCCTTCGAATCATACCGCCCCGGCGATGAATAAATCCGATTTGTTTATTACGTTGGACAAAAACGACACGATTGACAATCTCGTGGCTAAAGATGATAAAGTTTCCAATTTTGGTTTCACTCGAAGGACATTCCCCTTAAGCGATAATGAGTATCTCAATTTACTCGATGAATGCCGTTTACAATTATCATTGGATGATAAAAACGAATTTGATTTTTTTTAAAAAAATACGTTTTTTAATTTTTTCTACCTATCCTTGTTAACCAAATACCCTTTAATAACTATATCTCTTTATATAAATAACCCTATTAATTTTTTTTAGGTTAGATAATAAATATTTGATTGCCAATAAAGTACCATTAATATTTTTCTTACGTTGAGTTTAGATTTTGTATATTTCCTTCCTAAAAAGACATAATTATAATTATTATATATAAAAAAAATTAATAAAATTAGGGACACACAACAACAAAAAAATAAAAGTTTCTTTTTTTATGATAAATAAATATTATAATTATTATATCTGTAATAAATATTATGCATTCTAGCTCATTTATAAATATAATTTGATTCAATTTTCAAAAAAAAATAAATAAAATTACAAAAATATAATTTTTAATTAAATTATATCATTTTTTTATTTGAATCATCTTTTGTTCAGACTTATTAATTATTTTTTATTTATCAGAAAAGAAATTATTAAGTGAAACATGTTCCTATTTTTATACGCTCCTTAGGGAATAATCAGAGCTCCTACCTATTCCGTTTCTTGCCTATATCATTGTAAAATTGGTGACCTTACCAACGATTACAAAGTTTATTTAAAAATTTACAGGGAAAAATTTAAGATTTTTCCTAGTTATTAATTTATCACAAATGATATTTTTTTAATTTTAAGCCATAATTGCCTTTGAATTTTAACGAAGCTTTGTGTCCATAATTTATTTTACATAATAAAGTTAATTCCGCAACCAACTATTTAGAAGTAAGAAGAATTTGGGAAAAGAATTATCAACGTTTTCTTTGTTATTATATTGATTTTTATGATGGTTTCATTAGAAAGCATAATATTTTACATTTGACGCCTTATATCTAATCCGTTTAGAAATTAGTAGGTTAATTTTTTTGTTCTTATAAATGTTTATCACATTAAAATTCGGATTTAAAATTTCCCTATATTTACGACCATGAGATAGAAGATCAGGAACAAATTGCTAAGTTATTTTTTCATCAGAAAAATTTAACTTAATGGCCAATAAGAAAAATCCGTAATATATTTACCGTTCATGATTTAATAACTTGCATATTGTTTTTTTTTAAATTTAAATGTACAATATATTCATTATTTTACGGTACTGCTCTTACGATATTTACTTTGCGCATATAAATTCGTGATAGAAGTTTTACTTTATTCACTTAATATGTCACGAACCTGTCACTTAGGATAGAGGGTAGATTTAAAGGTTCGGGTTTATTTTTACCTTTTTTAAAATAAGCCTGTATATTTTCCCCTAGTAGAATTTAATCTTTATATGCTATCTTATTAATCGACGTTGTTATAATGCGAAAGAATTTATAAAATTGATTTCATTAATATTAGGAAATCACCTAGAATTATAATGTCATAAATAGGGGAGAGTCGGAGTTGATGGGCAATCCTGTAGTTTTATTTCTAAAATACTTGCTAATTTTTTTTTTTTATTGTTTTATTTATTTCACATAACACCTAATTAAAAATATTATAATTTATAAATTATAATTATATAATTAAAAATAAAATTCTATAATTGAGTCCCCAAAAAGGAACCATAATTGTGTCTAAAAATTTCTATTTGAATTTTTTGTCGAATAAAAAGGAATTCTCTTGGTTCATTTGTGAAAAGTCGTATTTTATTAGCAAGATTTTTTAAAAACCAAAATGTTGAAGGCGAAAAATGGCCGTTAGTAGAAGTCACAACTGGAGTGAATAAAAAGTTTTTAAAATTTTTGTATTTGTTTATCTTTTTAATTTCAGCCTGTGTTATTAAATTGAAATTTTTGTTTGAAGGGAATGATAAAACACACTTGTAGTCCCATATGAGTGATTTGCCGAGGGCCCAAGTTATGGTTGTCATACCATCAGGTCTTAAACCATCTACTTGAGATAAATTTGATGGTTCGAGATTGTTAGGAATGTGTGCAGCTGTTAAGCTTCTATTTATTATATGGTTTACAGCTGAGTGGCGTTGATGTCGCCCTTGACTAAAAATGCAATTTAAGCCATGTCTACCCTTTGAATCAACGGGTGATTTGCATTTGACGCAGGCATGAGGCTGTACTATATCGCAACCTAGACGTAGACCAATGGTTACTCTCAGTTGTTCATCTGATAAGAGATTACCAAGGTTGCGACTAGGGAGTGATTCTAACCATTCATGACCACCAAGTCTGTCAGATAATTGAAGGAGTTTAATGCAATCTAAAGGTGGATTGACTGATATATCTGTCTGGTATTTAGAGATTAAAGGTGTGAAAAATTTTTTGTGTGTGATGATTGATGGTAATACGGTGTTAATGGGTGTGTTTGCCTTCCATTTGTCAAAAGCGTCGTCTAATAAACGATCGGTAGGGCATATGAAGCCAGAAATAATAGAATTGTTAGATAATCTAGATGATACGAATGATGATAAGGATAAAAGATTGAGCGGAAAAAAATCTAAACCTCCTAGTTTAGAAGGTAGCTGAGCAAGTGACCAATTGAATGAGTTTAGGGTTTAAATTTTTTATGTCATATATTGTATGAATAGTTTATTCGGGATAATTTTAAATAGATGGTCTGCATTTCCAGTAATTAGGTTTATTTAAAAATCGTTCTTGCGGGAAAAAAATTGTGATAATTCGGGGTAAAATCGTTATTTGTAAGCCTCTACTGCGGAAATTTAGTTCAATGCAAACTCACTAGTTATTTGTGATCGATTTTCCAAAATGTGTCCTTATTCATCTGTTCCAAAAATACCCGGGTTTGAATAGTATCCCCAAAACCGGTAAAGTTTGGACGAATCTCAAATTGTCTAAATTAAAAAAGAATTGCCTCATATAGGAAAATCTCTCATAATTTAAGAAGAAATACATTTTCTATCTTATACCCTTAATAATTGCTCAATGAATATTATTGGAGCCCATAATATTTAATCCGAAATCAGCTTTTCCTCATTTAAATAAATATTAAATAAAGCAAGCATTTATTTAAATAAGAAAAATTGAATAAAAATATGTTTTAATTATATGAATATATGGTCGTCACTAAAAAAAAACTACAAACACAATCTAAAACCTATCTAAAATCTACCCCAACCAAATCCTAGAAACTTAATCAAACTTTCTAAAAAAACGAATCGTCAAGAATTATATGAAATTATCAAATCCAAAGACAAATAAAACTACAATATAAATCCAAAAATTTTATTCAAAAGAAAATTTCATTTCTCAAAAAAAATAAATTTATATCAAAAAAAATTAATTTTCAACAATGATCAAAATCCGTAATTTTTTATAAAAAAAAATTAATTAATTATATAAAAAAAATAATATCCACATATATTATATTACATCTAATTTTTCTATCCAATCAACCTTATTTTAATCGGTTGATTGGCATTCGCGTAAACAAAAAAATATAAAATGTACGTATTTACAAATACGACAGTCACCACTGCAAGATCACGTAATCATACGTGGCATTTTTAAAATGGTTCAGGAGAGACAAGTAACTATTTTAACTGTTATATTATAATTATAAAATATAGTACTTCAATGAATTTTAACTTTTAATTATAATATTTCCATTAGAATGCTTTAAAATAAATATATTCACATTTGCTATCCCCATGCCACTAACGAGTTTTTATTTTAAATAATGTCTGAAAAAATTTCAGTTACTAGGTTTTGAAAACGTTTTTTTTTTCGTTTTAAATTTGCTATTGATAAAAAAAATTGTTTTTATTGAATATTGAGTGTAGAGATCTGCAATTCAAGAGCCCTACCCGGCCTGGCTCAAGCGGGTTTCTCAGTAGGATAATTTTTTAAAAAATAATTTCGGTTGGGGCTAGGTCGGGCTTAATATATTTTTAAATTTCAAGCCGACGGGTCGAGCTTAAATTTTTAAATATGATATTACATTTGTCAAATAAATCGATATATTTTAACATTCTTGCAAGAAATGAGGCGCGAATACTACATTCAAATAAATACTGGCCTGGAGGACAAATAATCTTTGTTTCGAATGGGGCTTTTTAGAGACAAATAAAAATAATTTTTTCGCGATAGGGCCCGGACAGATTTTTAAAAAAAAATTTAAGTCGGACTTGAAAAATTAGGCCCGAAGCAGATCACTAATTGAGACACGATTTTTTAATAGATGATAGCTGGCTTATAGAACCCATTTATCACATCTTCCAATAAGTAAAAAAAATTAAAACCCGTTGGACAATCATAAATAAGACAAATAAAATTAGCTACTATTAATAGGAATTTATGTGTTTTAAAAAAAGTTAGGTGCCAGTTAGATTTCTGTGAATGACGGGTATGTTCAAAAATATAACAATGGGTTATTTTCAAATGAGAGTTGGCTCAAAGCTTTAAACCATTTTTTAGGTAATTTATTAAGAGCCTATCCGTCGAAATTTTTGATCGGGATTTTCGGCTCTACCCGAAAAATAATTTTATACAAGTTGCTCGAACCCGGCCCATAATAATTTTTTTAAAAAAAATTGCGAACTACACACTAGTGTTATTAAACCGCTCTATTTAGCTCATTTTAAATTAGGGCTCGGGATTTTGTTAATGGATGTCCAAACCTTTCATAAGAAAAATCTCTTAGCTTGCATAATATTTCTCGGTTAAATATTGAGTTAGCCGTTTTAAAAGTCGAGATCTGCCCCTCTCACAGATTTAAAACATACTTAAAATTTATTAAGCAAAACCAAACATTATGTTATATTAAATTTTTTTCCGTTTTTTTTTGGCAAAATATTTGATACATTGAGATCGCGAGTGTGTGGTAAAGGTGATTGCACGTGAATAGCATAATGCATTATTTATTATGCCAATCCATTGTTTCCTTTTTTTATTATTAAATATTATTTTAGTTTATTTATTTTTTTTATTTACTTGCATCTATTCTTCTTTCCTTTTTTTTTGAATGCCGTTCAATATTATATTCTGGACAAAAATTATTATGGTCCAATTCTAGGAAATCACCGTTAAAACAGCTTATATTTTAAAATTTCAATTCGTCAATTTATAATCACATACGCTCTGTTTACTGTAAATTAAATAATAATATGATTCGGAAGGGTGACAATCAGTGGCGTATCCAGGATTTTCCTATAGGGGGGAAATTTTTTGGGGAGCTTTGCCTCCAAACCCCCTTTGGCCAGCTTTTTCCTCACCTTCGGCCGGGTCATATCTTTGATCTATTCTTTTA